GTGGGCCTCTCACTGTTGTGGCCTCTCCCGTTGCGGAGCACAGGCTCCGGACGCACAGGCTCAGCGGCCATGGCTCACGGGCCTAGCCGCTCTGCGGCATGTGGGATCTTCCCAGACCGGGGCACGAACCTGTGTCCCCTGCATTGGCAGGTGGACTCTCAACCACTGCGCCACCAGGAAAGCCCAATAATGGGAATTTTTGATGTGGCTAATATGGAGGGAGTGTGAAGTGAGAAACGAAGCTTGATAAGTAGATTACGGCCAAATCATGTAGACTCTTGAGTGATAAGGAATTCTGTGCGTGCTGAGGAGCCAATGAAAAGTTCTTGAGATTCTCCACAGAAAGATTATTAAAGATACAGCACAATCTTCACTGACAGAAGAAGATGTTAAGAGAAATCTGCTAGAAAAAGCCTGAAAGGCACGTGTAGGGGAATTATGTGGGAAAGATACGAAGTCATGGTTTATCCCAGAAAATGGAGGCTGCCTTTTGGAAAAATGGAAGCTCATTTGGCATGAGGGGAAATGGAACTGGGAGAAATGGAGGATCAAATATAAACACTTGGGGCCTGATCTAGCTTTAGACCAAGGTAGCCCCAAGCGAAATACTCTGCAATTTCATCTGTCTTCCCCTGCTGCTCCTCAGGTCCTCCGAAGGTTCAGGTTTACTCACGACACCCCGCAGAGAATGGAAAACCAAATTACCTGAACTGCTATGTGTCTGGGTTCCATCCACCCCAGATTGAGATTGATTTGCTGAAGAATGGGGAGAAGATGGCAGTGGAGCAATCAGACCTGTCTTTCAGCAAGGACTGGTCTTTCTACCTTCTGGTCCACGCTGAGTTCACTCCCAACGCAGTGGATCAGTACTGCTGCCGCGTGAAACACGTTACTCTCAGAGAGCCCAAGAGAGTTAAGTGGGGTAAGTTTTCAAGTTCCTTCCTTAGCTGCTGACAGTTGTATCTGAACATAGCCACAGCATAAAGCTGCCTTGATATAAGAACATCTGCATACTGGGATTATCAGGGAATGTTATTAAAGCTCTGATTAGTGGCACCTTCTGAGAGATCTCTGCACAGCGTGGTCACGGAGACAGTGGTTTCCCTGTAGTGAGAGCAGGGAGCAGTAGCAGCACTTCCACAAGTGCACAGGCGCTCCCAATGATTCTTCCCTACTGGCTTCCTTGGGCCTTCCTGATAGCCTCAGGGATACTCAGGACCAAGGAGAGTCTCAGGCAGGCACCGGTCTTGTCTGTAAGTCCTGCTATGGTAGTGCCCTCCAATCCTAGACTCCTTCAGTTCCCTGGCTGGCTTGGGATCTAAGGCTAGTAGGCAAGGTGGGGACCTGCTGGGTTTTTCTTAACGAGGCACTCACGGTGAGGGACAGTGGGCTCTTCTGCCAGCTTTATTTATAACAGTTTTAGACATTTGTTAGTACATAGTATTTCAAAAGTGAAACTTAACTGTTTCTCTTTTTCTTTCTCCATTTTCTTTTCTGTAGATCGAGACCAGTAACCAACATCACGGAGGTAAGTTTCTAATCTTAAAATCTTTCTTTTATAAAGTTATTTATTTATTTTTGGCTGCGTTGGGTGTTTGTTGCTGCGTGTGGGCTTTCTCTAGTTGCAGGGAGTGGGGGCTACTGTTTGTTGTGGTGGGCTGGCTTCTTATTGTGGTGGCTTCTCTTGTTGCGGAGCACGGGCCTAGGCGCGCCAGCTTCAGTAGTTGTGGCATGTAGGCTCAGTAGTTGTGGCTTGCGGGCTCTAGAGCACAGGCTCAGTAGTTGTGGTGCACAGGTTTAGTTGCTGCGCGGCATGTGGGATCTTCCCGGACCAGGGCTTAAACCTGTGTCCCCTGCATTGGCAGGCGGATTCTTAACCACTGCGCCACCAGGGAAGCC